AGACAAAATACGTGGTTTTAAAGTCCTAAAAGCAACCAGCTGAATAAAGGAAGAAGGAGGAGAGCCAAGAGGTTCACCATCATTGCTCATGTAAGAACACTGGGTAGCAAGTCAGGAGATCAGAGTTCAAAGCAGGAAAAAAAAGGACACAGTTATTCCTGAAATGGCTTGGAGGCCTATGGAAGGCATTGCTGGAGGATGGGGTAGACACAAAGAGCTTACATAGGCTAAAGGGGGGGCTCAAAAGCACGGGGAGAAGAAAACCTCTAAGGGACCCTAAATACGTAAAAGCACATCCACATCAGGACATTCTTGAATGAAAAATAGTTATACAAAGGAGGAGCAGTATCATATGTGTTTTCCCTTGTCTTTCTAGCATTCAGACATGATTTTAGCTACTTTTTAAAGCTTTAAAAATAGTCTTTTTAAATAATATGAACAACATTTTTACACTATTGCAGAAAGAAGAATTGCCAACAATGGGGCCATGTCAGTCTTTGTGGAGCAGAGCCACAGTAATCTGTGACAGAAATTTGATAGGATAAGTCACCCCACAGTGAGTACAAACTTCCATATGAGTTGGCAATTCAGTTCCTCTACATCAGAACTCTAACTAGGATAAGCCAACCTCAGGCATCACAAATGGCAAGATAATAAGAGACACATTGGGGACATGCCTTGGTAATAACAACAGTACAACTTTCACATCAAGTAAGAGTATGGATGGCACAGAGAGGTTACAGAGTCTTTGCTCCCTCATACTAGAAGTCCTACAAGCCACAGTGGATGTGTACATTCGTTTGCAAATTAATTCAGTGTAATTGAAGATGCTTAATTCTGCTAGCAAAGGTTCATAGAGGTTCTTTAAATAATAAATAGGCTTGTAAAGGTGCAAGTTGTCTCTGTCCCCACGCTGAGCCAACCAGGAGTCAGTGAACATAGCCAGCACTGTCTTGGGTTTGGGCTAACTTGCCTTTACACCTTCTGCCCCTGGTAAAATGGCAGTGACAATCCCCTGTGCTACCTGAAACAGTCCCCAGCACCTCTGGCCAGGGTTTATGCCTTAAACATCCCTTGTTCTGGAATTCAAAGGCACATTACAGGACAGTTTATAGGCAGTGTAAGTATATCTTAGAGGCAATGCAGTCATGGGTCCCGTTGTTCTCAGCTTTGGGGGGGGGATATTCACACCCCATTGACTTCCACTGTGAGTAGGAGACTTTAAAGCCCTGTCGGCAGCAGAGGCATTTTCTAAACCCTTCCTGCCTTTGTTAGCACCAGCTCAGAGTCATGTAATCCTGCAAGCTGGAGGTGATCAGCCACCAGCAACGGATTTAATGCCATGGCAATTACACCTCATAGATTAGATTGGGGCCTGATGACATGGTGTTAAGAATGCCTGTGGCAACCAGCAACCTGTCTGTCTTTAGGCTGCTTGCTAGCAAGGAGAGATTTCGCCTGTCCCACGATATTATGTGCTCTTACATTGTACAGGATGATTAGCCACAGAACCTTTAAGAAAAGGAAAGGATTTTTGAGGACTCCTGCTGTGAGGAAAAGATATCTGAGGGAAAAGGAAATTATATCCAATGCTTCTGAAAATCTCATAGGAGCAGGCTGAAGAAATGTTTTTCTCTAGGCATGATAATTTGAGAAAGAAATAACTGTAAGCAATGTAGAAATAGAAATAAATTCTAGATTTAATATGTCAGGATGGACAGGATCTTTAGGACTTTTCCTTGTGTAAAATTTTGTGTGGTCTCCATGTGAACATGCACAGACAATAGGGATTGCTCCACTCAAGTAACAGGCCTGGGGGCATTGCACAGCAGTCTGGGTGAGGGGAAGGTGTCCCTGGTCAGGGCAGGGAGGTTGTAGCTAGGTGGTTTTTAAGGTCCCTTCTAACCCAAACCATTCTATGATGCCATGAAACAGAAGAGTTGCAACAGAGAGGAAGGATAACTTCCTTTGGAAGGCTAATATTTCTCTATAGTTGGAGACAGTTGATGGAAGAATGGCTTTGCTCTTACACTGGTCTTGGTTGAAGGTGTTTCACTGTGCAGAGCATGGTGTGAGTATGTAAGAAAACAGGTTCTGCCCATGAACCGTGTGTTCACTGCACGCTGTACATAAGTCCGGTGCATACAGAGTTCTTAGGCAGATCACATAGGACCTACAGGGGAACAAAGCCTGTCTTAGAAAGCACAAACCGCCTCAAGTATTTCTGTAATAAGAACAGATACACTCCTGCTCACTGTGTTTGGAAATATCCATAATGGATGTTTCCAGCAGATGGCAACAGCAGACCAGTTTGTGGCACAAGGGTAGCATTTGAAGGCTGCAAAAAAACCCTCTCTGAGCTTTACCCAAAGCGTCTCCCAGATCTGCTTCTTCCACTCCCAGTACTGTGCCTACTTGGTACCCCAGGGCACTGTTAATATGAAGTGCAGAAGAAATCAGTGCCTGCAGAAAACTTCAGTACAAACTCTGGAGCTTCTGGTGTGTTTACAGGGCTTAAAACATACCTGTTGCATTTTAAACAACCAAAAAAAATCTATCTCTTCTCCCTGAGCAGGCATAATTTATCTCCTACATATCTTTTTACAAAATAATAGTGCAAGGGGTGATTAGAGTGGGAGCACAGACAGACGTGAAGAATTAAAAATACAAAGTGTCCAGTGGTGTTTTATCAAAAGGTGTCTCTTCCCTGCCATGTGCAGAAGCCAGATTCATGGACTAAACTTTTCTTCACGTTCTTGTCATTGCTTCTGAGCCATCTTAAACAGCTGCTCTTGGGAAGTGCTTGTTACTGCCTTGGAAAAGTGATTATCCTGCTTGAAATTATAGACTCAGCTCTTGGCCTCTGGAGGAAAGAGTTTTGCTGTGGATCCCAGGTGCTGCAGATGCTGATATCCATGGAAGGATCAGGGAGACTCCACAGCCAAGCTCCACCTCGCTCTGCCCAGGCCCTGGGGAAGATGTGGGAGTTGTATTTAATAATCATCACCCCTGTACCATTGTTTTTCCATCAAAATTATGAGAGCACTATTGTTTTTAATAAATAGCAATGTTGTTTTGTCATTTGCAAAGTATAACATGAATGAACCTTGAAGACGTAACACAAGATAAATTTACAGCTGAAGGATCCAGTCTTTTCCTCCAAAACTCAATCAATGTGTAGCTTTTCCCTTAAGCTGAAGTACAGGCCAGATCCACAGAATCATTTAGGTTGCAAAAGACCTTCAGGCAGTGAAAATGAGCATTCAGGTGTAATATGAAGCTTGGGGAGCACTGAAGAGGCTGTGAACGTCAACTGATACTCTTTGGAAATGAAAAAAAGTGGAAAGAATTAATTCCAAATGAATCCCCTGCAGAAACAATACAAGGTACAGATGAGGGGGGAGAAATGCCTGAGAACCAAATCTGGGCTTCAGTGGGATCTAAAGTAGGAATTTTGCAGTGTGCCTGTACCTGATTTAGTTTTCACTGAGATCAGTGAGCAGTGACCACCCCGGTGCAGGAGGTGTCCTACCAGCTGTGGCTCAGGAGGAGACCTGGCTGCAAGAAATTTCAAGCCCCTCCAGGTTATTATCCTCAACCCCACCTCAGTGTTCTGGAAAAGGAGGCTATTGGTTGTCATTATTACCATTTTTGATAAATGGAGGAGCTGCTGCAATGTTCAGCCCTCTTCCCTCAACTGATGCTCCCAGTTGTGGTGCAGGTGAATGCCACCATTCTGCCGTTGTTTCACTTCCCTGGGTATTTTCCCTGCAGGGAACTGCAATGCTATTGTAACTCTTTTCTGCTCTAACATAATTCTTCAAGAAAAATGAGTATGTTAAAGAGAAAACTGCCTTCTAACTGCTTTAAGATCTTTTATCACTCATGGTAACTCCTGGCACACTCACTTGCTGAGTGTGTTATCTTTAAGCTGTTTACAAAATATGTGAATAAATCCAAGTCCAATATGGAAGGTTCCCCTTTGCTCACATTTCGATACAGGGGTGGAATTATCACTTTGGAAAGAACTTTACCATTAGCAGATGCAAAAGAAAAAAATCCAGCCTACAAAAACCTGCCACACCACAGCACACAAAGCTACTGTTTTTAATGAGTTAGACTGAGGGCTTTTCTGTTCCTTTGCTCCTCTAATGAGGAGGACTGTGAGGTGTCTTTGAACTAGCTACAGACTTGAAAGATTCAGTAAACAAGGATTCTTTATACCATTTCTGGTAAAAGCTTGTCCTGACAGATGCCTTCTTCCTCCTGAGGTTTAGACCACAGTTTGATCTTTTTTTGTTGTTGTTGCTGTTTTTCTTTAACCCCTGAAGCATTTCACAACAGGATGGGCAAAGGCCCAGCAGTAATTAGACTGATTGAGCACTGGAAGTGAGACAAAAGAGATGGCTGGAAATCACTGTTGTTCTCCAACAATGCTGGGTCCTCAGGTCTCAGTCATTACAATCCAAGCTTTTGAGAGTACCTGGATCCTGGATCCTTGGGTCCTGCTGGAGCTTGGGGGCTGCCTGCTGAGATATCCTCATACAGTTGTGTATTCACTGGGACAAATCCTCCTCTCCCTGCTGCTGCTGCTGCTGTGTTGTGCCTACAGAGCAGAGAGGGAAGGAGGGGTGTACAGAGGTGTTACAGAGATGGCAGTGTACAAACTTCCAGGTGTCACTCACCTGCACTGCAGGGAAAACCTTATTTTTCAAAAGTTTCCATCATGCCATACAAAACACTGAATCCTTCCAAATCTGGAAGTGATAGCCTGGCATGATGCCCCAGGTCATGTCTTACATAAAGAGTTATTTGTCTCTTTATCCCACTTTTACAATTACTCACCAAAGCTACCTTAAATCATAGAATCCCAGGCTCTCTATGACCATGCTTTCTATTGCTTAGCTCAGGTACCCCTTCCTATTCTTCAGGATTCAGAAACTATTGAAATCTTCATGTTTTCCTGATGGTTCCCTCCTTGCAGCCCCTCCTCACACTGACTGGATTACCTGGCAGGTTTTCTAATGTGCAAGACATGGCAGGGGGGGCTGAGGTTGTAGCTTTGAAGGTGCAAGAATAATTAGCCCTGAAGACCTGAAGGCCACCTCATTATGTTGAGCACACACTCTGGACAGTTTACCTGACTTTTAAGCTGCACAGGTCCATTTCCATGTGCCAGGGTTGGCCCAGTCTCCATCCATGCTCTGAGAAGGTTTTCATCTGGTCCAGGGTTGATTCCACCTTCCTGGCTTGCACATACTCATCAGCACGGGCAACCTTTGATGCCACAGCAGCCTGCAAGAGGTGTGAGTGAGCCCTTTTGGCAGTGTCAGCATCATCATTGAAGCCTGTGCTTGCATCACAAATTTTGCCACAGCAGTCCTACCCAAATTTTCTGCTAGCAGCTGTACAGTCCAGCTTCTCTGCTGTTTCTCAAGAAGGAAGGCTCTAGGTGTGTGCCCATCCCACAGCCCCAAGGGAGGGACCCTGGGAGAAGCCCTCAGGGCTGGCCTGAGGAGAACAAAGGGTCTGATCTTGAATGTAAGGGTTGTTCTACCCAGGAGACCAGTAATGGCCAGGATTCATGCTGATTGTGCACCTCTGAATCCCTTTACTTACCTTGTTCTCTGAGGTTTATCATAAAGAAACCAGGTTACAGTTGTCTTTACTCTGCTTAAAGCTCTGAATAAGTTCAGAGCTCAGTTATCATGAGCTTTTCCCTGCTGAAAACTAGCAATTTGCCAGAAAACTTCACAGGACAAAACTTTTATCCCCAAAGTAATTTATAATAATTCTGAACTTCAGAGATGTTCACTTACAAAAGTCAAAGGAAAACCAGAACATGCAGACGGAGGCACAGCTGCAAGGGACAGGAAAGGTGGACACTGATACTGAAACACCTATAAATTTCAACTGCTTCTCAGCAATGTTATATTTCTGATGGGAGAAGGGAATAAAGAAGCATACAGCCACTTAGGCCTAATGAAAGCTATAGAGAGTAATTAAACTTGCATTTATCAACAAAGATAGTCAGAACAGAAACATCAGTGTCTTTTTCTCCTCAACATCTATTTGATAATACAGGCCTTTTGGCTGTAATATTGACATTTTTATGACTATTAACTCATTGGAGACTTGCCTACACACAAATAAATGCTGCTTTAAGGGACCAAATCTTCTTTACCAAAGCCAGTGTACTGGGGCATACTGGTCAGCTTATTTTCATCCAGAAAAATCAAATAAGCTTTCCCAGTGCAAGGATCCTCTCCAGCAGCAGGACTGCTGCACTGTAATGCTGGCACTGGTGTAATCAGAGAGGTCAGGAATCAGGTAACACCACCAACATTGCTTTATCTTTATCAATTGAAAAAAAAAAGTTAAGTAAATGCCTTTAAAAAGTTAAAGCTGCTGGGGTTAATGCATTGGGGGTTTTGAGTGTGCTTTATTGGTGTGGTGTTCTTGCACCCCGTGCCAGGGCATGAGCACAACAAGCCATGATGTTTGCCTGGAATTACTGAATATTCAGTTATGGGCAGCTTTAAGCACCAGACTGAGTTGGGACACAGCACACGGTAGTATAATTTGTTGGAATAAACTGGTCTAGTGGAGAACAATGTTTTGAAAGATTTTGAATGTTTGAGGAAAGAGCTGGCAAAGCCTGCGATGCAATTCCCATCATGAGGTAACCTATCATCAAACACTGGCTTCGAAAACAAAATCTGGCAGATTTGAAGTTTACCACATTATGTCTCCCAATCTGCTTTCGTAGCCTTTCTCTTCCTCAAATGCTGAGGCTGTGTGGAGTTTTCCATGTTGCGCTGGGAAAACAGAACCTTTTGCCAATGCGCTCCCTTACTTTTGGTTATTTTTAAATCTCTGCAAAAAGCTCCCACTTTCTTCTGGAGCCAGTGCCTATTGTTTATGGAAGCAGTTTCAATTTACTTTCTATAAGAAAAAAAAAAAATTAATCTACTGCCTCGAAAGCGCTGCAAGTATCCGCATTGTTCTGCTGCATTGTTTTCCTTACAAAAAAGGAATTCCTTGGAACCACAGAGGCATTGAGTCTACTCAGCTCACTCTTTTTCAACTCCCCCCTGCTCTCAAATAGTGGCTTTCAAGCAGTGACCTTTCTTTTTCGTGGAGGCCAGCTTGTTATTGTGGGTTGGATTTCCCTGCTGATTGTTCTGCGTTTCCTCCCGCGCTGCTCTGCGGCTGCCGCTGCTCCCGGCAGGGTGACCAGAGTGACCACCCTGTGCTTGGCACACACACAGCCCTGGGTGGCTGTGGGTGACCATGGCCACTGGCAGCCTCTCCCACCTTCACATGGACGGCCAAAAAACCCACCAGCTGCTCATAAGAGCCGCAAATTATTAAAATCTGGCAGAGGAGGTCATTAACCGCCTTGTACACGTGGTGTATAACCATCGTCTGGATGCTAAGGAATGCAAGAGCAGCTTTCTAGAACTGCTCTCAAAAAGCTTTGTCCACGAGCATCTTAGCAAGACACACATAAAAATATGAACTTTTCTAGTGAAACAGCTGATACACTTCTCTGTTTGGGAATAAATACCTCATTTTTACTCTGTGGGAATAATTACTTGTCATCCCCCGCATATTCTCTTTCTTGTAACAAGCCTTTTCCTTCATATTAAAAACCTTTTGCAAGGACACGAAGAATCCATCTCTTTTCACATAGTACTTCTGCAGGACCTGAAATAGTTTGTGTCACTAAAAAAACACTGAACCCACAAGCAGAAAGCATGAGATATGTAGGAATCAGAGTGAGCCTTGAAATCAGTCAAAATCTCTAATATAATCTTTAAACAAATATCTTGGATACTCTAAGCAGAGAGGAGCAAAGTCCCCACACTCCATTCTTTTTTTGAGAAAGCAAAGTTAAGCTGTAAAATACATGTTCACTGTGCTGAAAGATCTCATCTTGATTTCTAGACGCTGCCACTGAGCCTGGCAATGAGTCCCGCCAAAAAATAAACTGGGACATCTCAAATACACTCAGCAGCAAAGCATGTGCATCTCGATTCCTTGAGGACTGCTGCAGGCCCAGGAATCTGGAACTCTGAGGAAACAGGCTTTATTTTAGAAGCAACAAGTTCTGGTGTATTCATAAGAAAATATTCTCAGAAATTCCAGTTCACCAGGAGTTTCAAAGCTGCTTGTTTCAGTCTCACTCGGGATGTAACCCAAGTGTGAAGAGATGAGGTTTCTTGTTTCTGTGTGAACTTGAAGTGCTGCTTTTCACTCAAAGCCCATCAAGACCCTACTCTCAGCTTTTGTGTACAAGGCACAATTAGTGGAATCATCTAAAGATTCATCTCATTTTGAAGTCATTTATACTTTAGAGTTCAAACTGAGACAAAGTGTATCCTTTCACCCAAATATTTGTAAAATTTTTTGCTTCTGTTTCTTTCCCAATATTAGTTTCTGTCTGCCACTGATTGCATGAAAAACCTCAATGTCCAAATTTTGAGAAATGCTTACCTATTTTTATGTCTATTTGGTTAATTTTACAAACTTCAGGTAAAGAAGGAAAAAAAAGATGATTCTAATATAATCTTTTGTCTTGTACTTAGTTCATGGAGAGGTGTGATAGGATGCTGAGAACCTGTGCTAGTCAAACTTTGAATGCACTGCACTAACAGTATAGGTGAAGCTGTAAATAATTAGAAAAATAATAAAATAAGTGGGAACAAAAAAGAGAGAATGACCCCCTCATACACAGTGAATCCTTCAACCTTGGCAAATATCTACTGTGTTCAGAAAACAGGCTGTGAGACAGAAGGAAGGTGACAAAAAGGAGAAAAAACAACATCTGAAATTTCAAAATGTTTTCTAAAAATCTAAACAAGATGAAAATTTAAATTTAAGGGAAATATTTTGCTGCACTAAATACTTCTTATACAAAAGTCTCTATTTTGCAAGATAAATGTCTACGACACAAATGTTGGCCATCTGTAAGTGCAGCAGTGAGCTAAGGCAGCAAGATGGAAAAGGTGTTGTGGCAAATTGCCTTGCCTCCCTCTCTGGAGCACTGCATTGCAATGAGCTGGCCTGTGGCCCAAAAGCAGCAAATGCCATATTTGTGTTGTGAGAAATGCAAGGTGCTTGGCCTGGGACAAGTGGCTTCCCAGAAGCACAGCCAGACCCCTTCTTGTGTCCACACTTGCTGTTCCAGAACCACTTCAGTAATATACTTCTCACTGCATCCCAAGTGAAAAATTTCCTCATCTCTATTTCCGCTTAGAGACAAATCACTTTTTCCTCCTTGCAAGTAATTTGGGCTACAAATACAGCAATGAATATTCTACTTAGTAGTAAAAAGGGAAATAAATATGTATGGGTGGCTTTCATGCTATTTGTGTGGGCCTGTGTGTGTGAGCTCAGGCAAACATAAACACACAAATATATCTTGTGTCTACAGAACGTCCGTGCGAGTTCAGTGGCTAAGTTCCAGCACACCTATAGACACCCATCTTTGCCATATGAAAAATGTTTAAAAACCATTTTTAAACCCCTCTGAAATCTCCAAAAACATAAAAGCACCTGCCTCACTTAGGAGCCTGCACTTGTTTTATCCAACAGTGTTTATACTCGGAATGTACATCACACTGCTCATGCGAGACACCATTATCCTAAAGTCCTCCAAAGTTTATTCTCAACTCTCTGAAAAAGTATTAACTTCCTTCTTCAATCTCTCTTTTAACACATCTCCTCACCCCTTCATTGATTCACCTCCCTGGAATGCTTCTATTCATCCCACTAATGAGAGGCAGATTGATTTCTATCATTTCACCTTCGGTTGCCTTATTGATGCACTGACTGTCCAGAGGGAAGAGAGTCACCTTTTGGTGGCAGTGACAGAGAAGCTCAGTCAGAGGACACTGATTGCACTGAGACAGCTGCAATCTGAGTTGCAAGAAACTTAGGGCTATTCTGATTTACACAAATTCAACATCCTTTCACCATAACGATGAGGATTTTTTGAGAGCTAAAGCTAAATTATGGACTGATCAGAGCTTCCTGGCAACAGCGAGCTTGGTGTTTGTTTTAAAACGAATGGCTGTCTTTTCAGAATCTGAGATTATCTGCTAAGTGATTACATACCTATACACATGGCAAAAGATTAGCACCTTCCACACACACCTTCCATCAGTGTTATTCTTTCATGCCCAGTCACCTCTGCTGGTCCATTCCGAGATGTGAGCTGTGAGAAACGCAGCTGTTGAATTACAGGGAACGTTAAGAAAGTGATTTGGAGGGCACATCTTTCCAGCAGTTCAAAGACTGTTCAAACAATTCTGTTTCTTCTGTCTCTCTCCTTTTTTTTCTGGTTTTGGTTTTTTTTTTTTGTTTTAATTTAGTCTTCAGTGTCTCTCTCTTTTCCCAGGAGTACATGTTAAAGGAAGTTCAACTAATCAGCAGGTTATATCCCATTTCCATGTTATTCCAGCCTTACTCAAAGAGATGATATATTTGATAGCTTTTAGCTTGGCTCTATCACTCTGCATTTCCCCCTTTTATCCACATTGCATTTATAATTTGTGATGGGCAAATCTCAAAAGATTAGAAGCTGGGCTTGGATAAGCAACTGTATGTTTGAAGTTTACTTTTCAGTTTTAAGAGATCAGGGTCACTGCAAAAAGTGTCTGAATTATCTGCTTCAAATTCATGGGATTTGAATGACCAAAGACTTTGGGAAGAGGAACAAAGTGATAACTGCATTTCCAACTAACATAGTTACAGTGCCCAAAAATTAAACAGGCCAAGGTGATTTATTATTTTCAATAGCATCAGGAGAAATGAGAGCTGAAGGCATCAGAGGATTTTTCTACCTTGGAGTAGGACTTGAATGCTGTGTCCCATGTAAAGCTTAAAGGCTTTACCCTTTGGATGCTCTGGCTAGAGAAGGGGCAGGGGGCAGAGCTAAATACTGTGAAAGCTGTACAGAAATTAAAATGCGTGTGCTCCCCAAACAGACCAGTAACTGGAAGGCACCTCTATTATTCTCTGGGCTGCAGAGTGCACTCTTAACTCACCCTCCCTACAAGACTCTGTTATTGTTACTGTGGAAACCTTAACAGTGATTTTTCACTGACATTTGGCACTACTTTAAAATCAACTTTCCATAGAGATAGATCAACTCCAGCATTGGCCTTGACTGTATTTTCTCACTGAGAAAGCAGACAGGAGATGAAAATCAAAGTTTAATCCTGTTGCCCGCTGTAGCAAAGCACAATGCAATGCCTATCTGGAAAGTAGCATCTCCCTTTTTATTTATCTATTGTATGTCTGTGTCTGAGACAAGTACGTTCTTGCTCTGTTTCCAAGCAGAATAGCACCACAGAAAATAGTTCTGAAGAACAAAACAAATACATCTACATTTCTTGTAATGCTGTTCATCAGCTAAAAAAGTTATGGCTACAGAAAACAGAAAAGTCTGAGTGAAACTGGGGGGGGGTGTGAAATTTTGCTTTGTCAAAAAAATTCTCATCAGGGGCTCATGAGGGTTCCTGTGGGTTATAAACAGAAGACAAGCAGTCTACAAGGTGTTGAGCTTTATTTTTGCAGACCTGCAGAAGTCCGAGACACAAACATTTTGGGGCAGGAGTTGGGGAAACATTACTGACATTTGCCACAGGCATCTAAAGTGGAACCCAGACACTGCAGCTCTTTTGCACAAAGAAAATAATTTCTCTAGTGCAGGCACAATGGACGCTGAGCTCTTTGGAAGATCTGGCCTAAAAAAAGCGGGACAATTAAAAAAAAAAAAATGGTTTCCTCGAATGGGTGGTATGAGGCTTGGGGAATGAATGTTTGTGGAGCACTCAGACCCTGGTATGAAAAGGTGCTGTAAAAGTTCAAAGTATTATTGTTATGGAATACTTACTCAGCAAGGCAGGGGAATATCAAAGGCTTTCTTCTCCCAGCTGGCTCGGGCTTATCTCAAGGAACTGTTGGTGGGTGGTGATTGCTCTCAGGGACTGGTGATGACAGAGGAGTGAAGGCACTAACTTTGCTTGCAGAGCTGCTCTGGGCACCCTCCTGGACCCGCCAAGGCTCCAGTTCCTCCTTGGTGCTTTTTGGTGCGCACACACACCCTGTTCCCAGAGAAAAGCCTGGAATGAAAACAGAGAGCTCTGACACCTGGCTAATGGAGGCACTCAGGCAAGGGCTTTCACTTGAAACTGGTACATTGGGAAATAATTGATACAAATTGCTTCAGACATTCAAGGCTGCTGGTTCTCCTTCCCACAGGCTATTTTTAGGCCCAATTAGGCAGATAAAATGACACCGGAATTAATTTGGGTACACTCGAATGTTTGGGCTTGCTTTTTCTTTTTTTTTTAAATGCTTCTCTCTAGATATGTGGCAAATGTCTGAATTATAAAAGACAGATAAAGGGGTTTTTACTTCCCTCCCTTCTCTGCTAAACAATGTTCAAGCACTGAAAGACTTGCTCGCTGCAAAACTACTTAGGGCTGATTGCTGGGGAATTTCTTCTCACCACCTTAAACCCAAAGCAAATAACAGAATATGAAATAACACATATTCTTGGCATCAGGCTGCACAAGAGCTCCCCTTGGTCTGCTGCAAAGCAAAGGCTACCAATCCACCCTTCAGAAGAAGATAAAATACAATTAACAAATTCATTATATAAATATTTTGGGTGGGGAGATATGAATTGGCTTATCTCTATTATTGTTGTCATTATTATTAGCTGCTGTTTGCTAAGACTGAGTTTTTCAAAGCCCTCTTTCACATTAAGAAGACCAAATCCCCATGCTAAATCCCACCCCTTAATTTGATGTTGATAGCTTTTGCAAGCTACTGGGGAACACAAACAGGGAGAGAGGTACAACTGGTGAGATAGTATTATTCAGTGTTATTACAGGAATTTATGGACAAGCCATTCCCAAGCCATTTGAAGGTAATTCATACATTTGGGCTAAAGGGAGATCCATAAGTGTTTTCCAGCCAAGCCCCAGCCTGTGTAATGTTTTCTAAGATAAGCAGCTACTGCCATGGAAAAGGCAAAACCTGCCTGCTGGCCTCTGCGGTCATTGTGCTGAGATCAAACTCCTCCAAAACATGAAAGCTTCCCGATCCTCTGGAATACACAAGTCATGAACTGCCCCTTCTGCAGCCAGGCTTGAGGGCTCAGAGGTTGGCTGGCATTTCGCTCGGATGGGTGAAACGCCGGCTGTGTCCAAGCCAAGAGGAGTTTTGCCCCTGAATTCAGTGGGGCAGCACTCTGCCTTTGTAGTAGGAGCCGATGAAAAGCTCTGCCTCATAATCACATTCCTGTGGCTTAACATGTAAGCGCACGTTGGCTGTGCGGTGGTGACGGCTCACGTGCCCAGCTCTCAGCCTGCAGGACATGCCAGCCGTGCCACTGGCTTTGCCCCACAGGGGAGGAGAGGTGAAGAAGTCGGGTTTTTGCACTTGCCATGCGCGGGGCTCGTAGGATCGGCTGCCACAGCGGGTCTGATGAGCAGTGGCTTGAGCCCTCAGTAACCCCGGTGTGATACCTGATGGGTTTGAAACAGCACGTGATCCTGAGACACAACCATCCTACCCCCAGGGAAATGGGTGCTTCATCTTCTGACGTAAATACAGCACTAGTTTATAGCATTCCAAGTGGAAGTGAGAGCCAGGCCTCCCTCATTCTGATATCTTATGTCACAGTCCCAACATTTCACTGTGACACCTCATACTAAGTACAAGAATTTGAGTCTGACTGCAGTTTACCTTCACATAAACCAGACTTTAGGAAGTATCTGATACTTAGGAAAAAACCCTCCGATAATCAGCAGGAATGAAGGTTTTTTTCCTGCATTATTAGTACCTTTTGTGGTATCACACATAGTACTTCTCCCTTAATTTCTTTCTGAAGGCTGCATATACATGACATTTGAGTTTTTTCTCCATTGCCTCTCCTAAACATGTCTCAGCACCAGTGTGGATGGTGACAGAGGAGTAATTAGTACTTCCTAATAATGAATTACAAATCTGGGGCAGAAAATATCACCAGCTGCTAAAGACTGAATTGCTCCAAGATGCATTTATTTTAGACAATCCATGCTGCAACCTTATCTCAAAATACTGGGTTGTGAAAGCTACTTACAAGAACAGAAGTCCTGATCCTTTGAAAAAGTCCTTTTAAGGGCAGTTTTTACACCTAAAGACTTCATAAGGTACTTGGCTTATTTGCTTCTCTGAAAGGGTTCATAGTTGCTGTGAATTCCTGCCTCTGTGCCTACTTCCTTGCCTGACATCTAAGCACCATATTTTCCTTTATATCTCCACCAGTATTGAACCCTGCTTTGCAGTGAATCTCACCGTGCCATCTCTTTTTTTCAATCCCAGTTGGTGGTGCAGAGATCCAGTAACACAAAGATCATTTGTCTGGAAAAAGAACAAAACACAATTTTTGATAACAGTATGTTTTCAATTCTTGCAGGAAACATTAGCAACATGTCTTCAGCAAAGGACTCTCCCATGACAAGTCATGAGTGAAATACTGAGCTTCCAAAGCAGCAAAATAACAATTTCACAGTCTTCTCTGTGACAGAGATAATGGATTAGTCAAAAACCCTGTCTTCTAGCAGCTTCAAAGCAGGACATCCCTGCAAGCTCATCTCGTGAACACTAAAAGCTGAATTTCACAGAGAAAAGTCACTTCTTCATAGTCTTTTGAGAAGCCTTTGTAAAAAGGGACAATGGAGGGGAGAAGAAAAAGGAAAAACTGCTGAGAACATCTGAAATGTTCAAAAAGAAAGTTGAGGTTTATCTGCAACAGTGTTGTGTTGACATTAGGTAATTTTCTTGACTTTTCTAGCAGAAATGACTCCAAAGGAGTAAACACTTTGCTTCAGTCTCATCTTGTAATGCCCATGAACATACCAGAGATGAAAGGTACCTGGCTGAGTTTGGGTAAAAATAGATGGGATTTTGAAAAGCGGGAAGAAATGCCTGGGAAAAGTCACCTACATATGGTCTTAATCATGCCAATGGATAACCCCCACATTACCCTTTAAAAGGTCATCTGATAAACATCAACATTGGGCTTTTCTCACAAACCCAACACCTAAAATTGCTTCAGGCTACTGTAATACGGCATGAGAAGTTAAATTAGAAGCATATATTTGGTAATAGCACCTCTGAGAGGGAGT